GTTCATCTGAGGAATAGTTTCAATTGAAAAAGTGCCGACTGCTGAACTCAACATTCTGATGAGAGATTTCAATGCAAATGTATGATGACATGCGTAAAATGGGCAGGTGCAATAGAAAGAACAGACCAAACGAAATCAGCGTACAAAGCCATTGCGCTTTTGTAGGAGCAACGGACTGTTACCTATGAACATTTTCAACCTATATCATTTGACAAACGATGATCTACGTTATGAAGAGCCCTGAGCTGTTAGCCGATCACAATTTTGTTACATGCACCATCTACTGCAAATGGCAGAGAACTACACAAAGATCGAGCAACAGAATTCACCAGAGAATCATCACCTTGAACTAGGAAACGTTACCTTCTTCATCACCCAAAATCTGACAAATAACATCGTTTGTCAATCTGATGATTCGTGGCATAGAAAGTACGGTTCTATAAGAGGGTTTTACTCGTGATTGCAGCTGAATGCTGCGGTTAGGAACGCTCTACCACATGAGGGTCAGAAACGAACTTCCTAGTGTAGATCACATGTTCGGTTGACTTGCAGAGAGATGTTAGCCGCATTGAAGAACTCGATGGGGTGCAACAAACATTTAATTCTAACGAGTTTGGAAAATGCGTGGAGGATGATAACAAATCTGAAAGCTGATTCCTTAAAGGAATTTGGTGAGGTGCTGCAGTCGAATTTCAAGACGACAAACCGGATATTCTGGTTGAACATCCGAAACGAACTGAGGGGCAATCCATCCTGACGGACTAATCCATACCGTTTTTTCGAAAGAAACACTTATGCGATGGCGAGACCATTTCGAGGCTCATTTTAACAAGAAGAGTCACCGGAAAACTTGCTCGAAAAGCAGCTCTAAAAGACGACGAAATAAGCCCTCTGGTAAGCTTAAAGATTGAGGCGGATAAGGCGTCTTGTGGCTATCATGTGTTTGTTAATTCGCAATGACCACGGAGAGGCCATTAATAGAGTGGAGAACTAGAGCTGTAGCGGTTCTTTGAAGGGGAACTACATGGCTTGCTCCAATTTTCGAAGCATTGTCTTACAGAGGCTCTGAGAAAAAGTCTACGCAAAGATTTGAAGTTGCTACGGAATAGTGGACAATGAGATTCAAGAGGAGTAATAGTAGCTTCAGGTCAGGACGAAGTTCCTATATGCCTACCTTCGCGTTCCGGCAGACTACTAAAAATAGTGGGTTTTACTTCATCCGGTTCGCACTGATTCATTAACCTGGACACAACATATGGCTGGAATCGTAGAAACATGCTACTGAGGTGCCCGGAAACATATGCAATTGATGACCAGTTGATCTGAGCCATCCGTTCATAACATGATGATATCAGGTGTAGCGTGAGAATAATCAGCGTTTCAATGTAATTGGATAAAACTTAAGTTTTGCACTGACCCCAACAAAAGATAGGTTCTTCCCCTTTATTGTATTTGTGCTGTTCAAAGATAGAACAGTCAGGCATATACAGTGATGATAGCAGATGTGGAGACGAGAAATTTGCTGTTTGAGACGTCCCCTTTTGCTCTCATCTTGCAAAACTGTTCTCCTAGTACAGCTGGTAAGGTCACAGCCGAATTTGTCGTGGCGAAGAGTAACTCGAAGCGACTAATATTTCTCGCTCACCTTGCGGCTACGTTGTGCAGAAAAATGCTTACCGATGACGTAAAACTTGAACGAGATGCACCGACGAATTCGAATGGCCAACTTCAACTAGACTAAGACCTTGTGCCTAAAGCAGCGGTAAATGTGAAGTCTAAGCTGTCTTTGTTAAGAGTGATTTTCATCGTTATACTCACCAATAGTCATGACTGAAAATAAAAGGTGCTGAAATAGGCTTTCAGAATCGAACTGGTGGGTTCATCGCTCGAAGCGGTTTAGATATTTGCAAGAATTTTGGTTTACTGCCGATGCCTTTGAAGATAAAGAAGTCTCTACGATGATTAAGCACTTATTGGAATGATTCCACAAAGACAAAATATGTACTGCTTACTCAGGGGACCCGCCGAAGGCACCGAACAAAACTAAGAATTACTTCGGGCAAGTGCCTAGGAGGATTTACTCGAGCCTTGGGTTATCATCTGTCAAAGCTAAAACGATGGCGAATAATCTAGAACGTTGGAGACAGAGCCTGGTGCCTCTACTTCGGCGTCCCGAAAGAGAAGTTGTAATCGAAAACTTACTAATTGATTTAATCCAGAAAACAATGATCGTTAGAATGTTAGTAGATTCCAAAAGTGGCGTAACATTTGTAGCCCATAAATAGTATTTGCTGGAGCCTCGTGATGTGCCGTCAACGGAAAATGATCCCATCTCCATTATCGAGAACAAACGGTAAGAGTGCAAGATAACTAATAAAAATG